AAATCCTGGCTCAGCTATTTATTGGCTGTGTGACCTTGGGCAAGTTCCTTAGCCCTTCTGAGTCTCAGCCTCCTCATATGGTAAAATAGAGGGAAAATGCTACCGGCCTCCTGGTGTTATTGCAAGGAGGAAATGAATTCACCCATGAGAACAGAGCCTGGGCCATGAGAAGTGCTCCATGGGTTGGGTATTGTTGTTATTGTTATTTATGCAGTTACAGTTTAATGTCTGGTGTTTTCCCAAAGCCCAAGAGGATAAAGTAGAGAGATCCCAACACCGTGACCAGACCCCCAAAGGCAGATTTGTGCCACCCGTGTCTGACCTTCCAGCACTGAGGTCTGGGCAGGGCCCAGGAGGTGTGTGAAGGCCCCGTGCCCTTACCCTGGCCCAGTGGACTGGGCACAGGGCCTGGCTGTGTTGGGAGGTCATTGGTTTGTTTTCCAGGGAGAATTCCCTACATCCCAGCCCCACTGTCCCCCTCCTGTGCCCCCTACCCAACAATGTGGATTGTCTCCATGTCATATGCCTGAAGGCTTAGGCCTTGGAGGACCAAGACATGATTTGAGGTAAGGAAGTAAATGAGCCAAGACTACAAGTCAGGGTTCTACAATTTAATCAGGACTTAGGGAATTGAAGGTCAGAAGTCAATGAATAAGATAGCAGGCCTTAGTTGGTGGCAGGCTGTGGCAGAGAGAAGGAGGAGGAAACCAAGACAAAGGAAACAATGACACATAATGGAGGCCCAGTGATCCAAATGGTGCAGGGGGAGCCCAGGGGGAAGGGGCCACTCAGGCCAGAATGTGTCAGGGGTGACATATAAGATGGCTGCTAGGAGCTGCTGCCACTGGAGGAAAAGACATGAAAGCTGGCAAAGTCACAATGCACTGGATTAAGAAATTTAGAGACCAATTGTGACAAAACTTAAATGTCAAGTGTGTGAGGGCAAGGGGGAACAGGGAAAGCAAAACAGTGACAATCAGAGACGCCTGTGGAAAGAGGCCTCTGGCAGCAGGTGGACAGAGGGCCAGGCAGGCCTGGTGTGCAGAGACATGCAGAGGGGACAGGTATAGGGATGGCAGCAGGGTGGGGAGGAGGGGACACATTTCAGAGGCATCACAAGGGATCAGGGTCACAGGACTGGGGCCTGATTGGATGGCAGTGTCCTGAGCAGAGAGACAGGGAAGTCAGGGGAAAAGAAGGTTCAGGGAAGAGGCAGGGCACACAGGCTGAGTTCTGCGTGGGCCAAGCGGAGTCACAGGAGCTGAGGGCCTCCCGGGGGTCTGGGGGTAGGAGAAAGCTCTGAGCTCAGCAGTGATCTTGGCAACCAAGGGGGTAGAGACCACCCTGAGGAGGGGGTGCACGGGGGAGACAAGGGCACTGAGGGGGACCTTGCAGAGCCACTACCGTGAAGGCAGAGCTTCTCCGCCCGCGCTCCCCACACAGCTGCTCCCCCAGGGGCTACTGGGCACCAGGCCTGTGGCCAGTTGGCTTGGGAAGTGCCGAGGGGACCGCAGACACCAGATATTGAAGACAGGATGAAAAAAGGAATGTAAAAATATGTCACTAATACTTTTGATATTGATCACTTGTTATATTTGGGATCTACTCAGCTAAGTAAAATATATTCAATATAAAATGACTTATCTCTCTCCTTACTTTTTAAACATGTATCTACTACGAAACTAAAAATTACACATGTAGCTTCCCCATTATATTACCTTATATTTCTATTGGAAGACACTGTTCTAGAACCTGAATTTTACCGGATGTGGAATAAATGTTGGGGAACAGAAGGAAAGCAAGGCGGAGGGTAGTGGGTAGGATTTGCCAGATGGCGCGTTCCTGGTGGGCACCAGTTCTGCACTGCAGGACTTCTCAGGGCAGGCGCCGTCTCCAGTGGGGTGGCCCGCAGACACTTCCCCGTGCACTGCACTTCCTGCGAGAGGAGGGCCATGCAGGACGCACCGTGAGAAATGGTGTTTTAAGGAGAGAATGGCAAGCGTGTGAGATGACCAGACCAGGGGGTGAAGATGGAGGGTGAGCAGGACACAGGCAGGAAGTGCCACAGAACCAGAGCGGTGGGGGTGGGAGTCTGGGGCCCAGAAGAGAGAGGAGGGGGAGCCGAGGCAGGAGCCTCTGTCCGGCTAGCCCGGGCTTGTGGAGCTCACTCTGCAGGCTGCAGGCGGTAGCGGAAGCGCAGGTCCTGGATGGGGTGCGAGACACCAAAGCCCCAGCGCGTGGGGTCAACTTCGGGCACAGGTGTGACAGGGTCCACCAGCTCTAGGTCAAAGTGTGTGACCATGAGCAGGACAAAGAGCTTCATCTCGCTGAGGGCGAAGAACCTCCCAGGGCACATGGAGACGCCCGAGCCCCAGGGCATGGTGTAGTGGGGGATCTTCTTGCCCGCCTTGTAGAAGTCTACCTTTCGGCTGCCATCAGGGTTGAGGAAGCGATCGTACTTGAAGGCCGTGGGCTCAGGGTGGATGTCAGGGTCCATGTGCACTGACAGGTAGGGAAAGAGGGCCACGATGTCCCCGCGGCGGCACAGGTACTCCTTCCCACTGGCCGTCTTCAGCATGCAGTCCTCGCTCACAGCCCTGCAGAGCGTGGGCGCAGCCCGCAGCCGCAGCGTCTCCTCCATCACACTGTCCAGCACCGGGGTGCAGCGCAGGGCACCCCGCTGGAAGGGGAAGGACTGTCCAGCCGCCAGCCTCGCCCCACCCAGGACCTGGGAGGCCTCCTCCTTCACAGCCTGCATGGCTTCTGGGTGCTTCAGGAGGAACAGGAGGGCCCAGAAAGCCGCAGGCCCTGTGTTCCCCTGGGAGGCCCAGAGCGTCATGAAGCTGAACCTGTCCTGCATATATGGGGCTGTTCCCTGCTCCCTCAGAAACTGATGCATGTGGCATATCCAGTTGCTTATGCCTCCCTTCTCCTGGTTGTGTTTAGCAGAGAGCATCTTGGGAAAGAAACGCTGTAGCCGGCCCATTTCTAGCCACTCTTGGGGCCCCAGCAGGGAATAGACACACCTCGGGAAAAGGTGGTCATACCTGAGGAAGTGGGTGAATAATTGCTCTGCCTGTGTCAGATCCTGCTCCTTGTCCTTCGTGTGGCCAAACAAGCTCAAGTAGCCAGCCTTGAACATGGTGTTATAGCAGAAGTGAAAGAGGCCATCCTCACGCCAGCCACTGGCATCCAGACTTCGGCCTCTGGGCCCCAGCATTATCAGGGACAGGGTGTCCACCAGGACCTCATTGAGATCCTCCAATTCATGCCCCATCAGGTACTTGCTGCTGGCCAAGAGCATCTTCGGTTTGTTCTCTCCCTTGGTGTAGTATCCAAACATCTTTCGTACAAGTCTTTTTGCAAATTTTGAAAAGTCTAGTTTCTTCTGTGTTTCCTTGAGGATGGGACCGAAGGAGAGGGGGTCCATGACGAAGGTAAAGTACTGGCCTGCCAGCTGCACTGTGAACACATCCCCGTGCTTGGTCCACATGCGCTTCAGGAATCCAAACATATTCTTCTGGAAAGCCATGGCATGGCCCAGCCAGGGCACTGTGCCCTTGTCCAGAGGGGGCTCCTGGGGCCCGCGTTGTCGGAGAAGCCCTGGCAGGCACAGGTACAGCACCATGACCAGCAGCAGAGCTCCCAGCGCCAGACTCCAGAGCGCCATGGCCACACTCCCGAGGTGACGCCCGGACAGACACACGTTCTCTGGGAGCCAGAAGAGAGTTGGAGGCCTCGTTATATTAGGGGGTGGAAAGATCTGAACGCCTGGACCTTGCCCTGTGGCTGCCAGTTGTGTATCTAACCCTGGTGAGGCAGTGTCTGGAAGAAAACTGCCTCCTTGAACTTAATATCCAACAGATCCTGGTTACATGGGAGGAGGAGGTGACCAGGAGGAAGCTCAGAGAGAAGCCTCTAGCTATGGTCACAGCTGCTTATTGACATTACATTTTGTTCTGACCTTTCCCAACTCAGCTCTGGACCTTCTCTCTAACCCTACCTTGACCTAACTCCTACCCCCGTGGTGCTTCCTGATAATTTATGCCTTTATGTACCCATGCATTCATTTATTTGCCAGCTCATTCAGTAGAAATGCACCAAGCACTTATGAAGTTTCACATCAATCTCCCCTCCAATCTTTGAAAGACTCAGCAAAATTTTCCATTCCTAGTTGAGTCCCCTGGTCAAGTTAGGTAACTTCACCGTGCCTCCATTCCTTACCTGTGAAATGGGAGTAATAGTAGTGCCTTATAGGTGCTGCTGTGAGGCAAAGAGAGAGAATACATGAAAACCACTTAGAGCAGGGCCTGGCTCACATTACTGAGTGCTCAGTATGTGTCAGTTCACATGCTGAAGCCTTTTCTCATATCTCTGCCCTCTCCCTGGGTCCCCATGACACCTGTGTTTGTCTCCTCATCCTTCCCCAAGTCCATCTCCCCTCTGGTCTCAAAGATGCTCCCTAAGGGGGTGAGGCCTTGTTGAGTCATGTCTGCTTCTAGCTGCATGTGCACAAGCACGCACAGTGAGAGGCCAGTGAAGAATGCATGTCCGTCTGTCCACTGGCGCTTCTGACACCCTAACCCAAAGGAAAGAGGCAAAGATGCTGGGGCTTCAGTCACGGGGAAGGGAGCAGTTGACGAGGTGCTCACACTGTCTGAGGGTGCAGTGCCAACGGATCTGAGGGGGCCCGAGGGCTTCTAGACTGAGGATTCTTCAAGCAGAGGCCCAGCCCTGGGTCTCTGATCTCTCACCCGGTTTGCTCCCACTGGCCCACATGCCCTGCCTGTGCACCTCTCTAACAATAAGGCAGAATCCTGAATCATGAAAACCCAGAGGTGACAAGGACCTCAACCCATCGCTTCATTTCACGATGACAGTCTATGCTCAGAGTGCAGTGGGGACCTACCTTGATAGCTGCCCGGGCTTGGGGCACTGAGGTAAGCTGACCCGGAATCGCTTCTGTGGACTGCCAGGCCAGTTCCCAGCTGCAGATCAAGGAGAACGCTGGGCCATTGACTCCGAGGTGGCCTAGCCCATTGCTGCAATAGGTGAGGTTTGGAGTCAATTCAATCAGTTACTAAATTACACTTTAACTTCGTAATGTCCTGCAAATAGGAACTTTGGCTCATCAGACAACCCTAGTGTTTTCATATGCCCTCCTGAGGGAGTTTCCTTTGCCTCATGAGCTTACCCTGAGCAGGGGGGTGTCACTCCCCACACTCTGCCCCTAGGAAGCCTTTTTGATTGCTCAGGGCAAGCACAGCGAGTACTTACTACCATCATCTCTCCTCAGCCTTAGAATTCACAGTCAAAAACTGTCTGTGGGCCAAATCCAATGAGCTGAATTTTGTCCTCTACTCATTAATGGCTGGGTACCATTTTACATTCAAATTTATTCCTATCAGAATAACCCTCCCTGACTACTCTGTGTAAATAGCCTCTCTCTTAAGTTACTTTGCAGCCTGTCTCTTAAGTTACTGTACCTTATTTTACTTTTTTCAAAAAACTTATCTTTACGTAAAATGATCTCTTATCTTTTTTTAGTCTGTATGAAGTCCATCTCCCTTAGTGGTGTGCTGGTAAATTTGCACTCTGAGGAAAAACAACGGATTTGTATTTCTATGTTGAAATAAATTACCCCCTGGCCAATTTCAAGAACCAACATAAGGTCACCGAAGGAGGGGCTGGGGAGAGATGTGCATAATCAGCTTTAAAAACCAGGACTACATCTTCTTCACTGCTGTGTCCTCAAGATCTGGCACTTAATAAGTGCTCTATAAATATTTGTTGAGTGGAGGAATAATTCTCTACTGTTGAAAGCATTCAGTCTTATCTTACAGATGAAAACACTGAGGCCCAAAGATGAGAGAAACTCTTGGGCACACATCGATTAAGTGGAAGAGCAAACCATTGAGCACAGCCAGTTGGTGCAAGATTTACCCCTAAGTGGTTAGAGAAGCATAAAATGGGAGAAATTTGGGGCTGGGGAATCAGATTGTCATGTATGGTTCCATAGTCCATATCGATAAATCATTTATTGCAGGCTTAGCATGTAGAAAGCACCATGATAGGGGAGAAAAGATGGATTTAAATATCATTCTTCAAGGAGCTCATACTCTATGGACAAAATGAGATAAGCACTCATTTGCAAATGCACATTAGTAAAAGCAATAAAAGACAAATACCAGTGAGGTTGGTCCGAGTGCAGTGGTGTTTACAACTAATTGATCACAACCAGTTACAGATTCCTGTGTTCCTTCTCCACTCTAAGTGGTCCTCTTGACCAGGCTTAAAAATAATAATAATAATATCAAGTAATAATAATAACAACAAAAAAGACAAATACCAGTGGAATCTCAGAGTAGTATCATATCATTTAGGGGAAAAGGATATCAGGGACAGAAGGGAATTTGTGAAAAAGGAGGCATTTCGGTTGGGCTTGTAAGGAAATGTAGGGTTAGCTGTAAGTGGAAAGGTAAGGTATTGCAGGCAATGGAACAATATGAGAAAGACATCTAAAGAGCTGCTTGAAGAAAAGAGCCCAGCTCACCTGGTGTCTGAGTACGGGAACAACTCAAACAGGCCTGAAACTTAGGGCCCCAGCGGACATGCTATCTGGAAAACTGACCTTCAATTCACTCTTTTACCAGCCCTCAAGAAAACAGGGAGTTCTTAGCAGTCACAGTAGTCCCCCTGCAGGGGCTACATCCCAAGACCCCAGTGGATGCCTGAACAAAGGGTTGTATGAAACTCTATATATACTGCATGTTTTCCTATACACACATACTTGCGATTAAGTTTAATTTGTGAATTAGGCATAGTAAGAGGTTAACAACAATGTAAAAACATACTGTAATATAAGTTATGTGAGTGTGCTGTGGTTTCTCTCTCAAAGTACTGTGCTGTACTTGCCCTTCTTGTGATCTGGCAATCTGATAAGTGAGATGGCTGCTAGGTGACCATAGGCAGGTAGCAGAGACAGTGTAGATGTAGCTATACACAGGGATGACTCATGTCCCGGGTGGGATGGAGCAGGGCAGTGTGAGATTTCACAACACTATTCAGAATGCTGTGCCATTTAAAACTTATGAATTGTTTATTTCTGGCATTTTCCATTTGATATTTTAGGCATTATGGGGATGAACTACAGTTGACTATGGGTAATTGAAACCATGGAAAGCAAAACCACAGATAAGAGGGGACTATACTATATTTACAACTGTATAGGAGGTGGCCTTACTGCTATGGTGTCTAGAGCAGCTTGGAATTCCAGGAGAGTGTGAATCCCACCCCCAGCCAAAGACAAGGAGAACGTTGTGAAACATTTGGTTGGATTTCCACTGCAATCTGGCAGTCCTTAGTAGTAAGACACCTTCATGGGGAATTTGAAGGCCAGAGAAGTTTGCCTGTCCATACAGAGATTGGATTTATATTCTTTGCCCGTGTTTGATGTCACTTTCCTGTCCATAGCTATCATCCATGTGACTGCTGTGCAGTCGGATCTGGCAAAACAGCTGGAAAAATGGCTTGGTGATGATTCTGAGGGGCTGAGCTTTGGTTTCCCAAAGATAAAAGGAAAAATGTTCTGGAAAATAGATAAGTGCATTTTAAGGGGGGCTAAGGATGAAGACACGGTGTGTGGGCAGAATAATTTTAGGAGTATGTTGAAAGGCAGGTCCCAGGGTAATGTCAGAGAAGCTGGTGGGGCGGAAAGCATATCTGCACCTAGACAACAATTGTACTGGCAGAACTGTCTGTGGTGACAGTTTTGGAACTCTGGAGTCTATCTGAATGCGGCAGCTTCCAGAGGAAAGATGGTTGGTAAATTGTGGCTAATATTGGTCAATATTGTGGCTAATATTGGTCAGCTTTTAGCATAGTAGTGACTATCCATCCCCATTCCCATGACATGTAGCTCTGGCATGCTTCTGGCATAGCTTGCTGAAGCCATGGAACTTTTCCTCCAAATATTAGGGAGTTCTATGTTGTAAATGCTGGTAGCTGTTTCTAATCAATGAGGTGTAGTTATAGAAGCTGGCTGTCATTGTTTCATCACCGTTGGCTGAAGCAATCCCCAGGACATTTAAAGGAGTTGCACCTTTGGCTTTTTTGTTTTGTTTTTACATTTAAAAAACAACTGAATTTTTTTGTTGTAGTTGTTATATAGAGTCTCGCTCTTTTGTCTGGGCTAGAGTGTCGTGGTGTCAGCCTAGCTCACACCAACCTCAAACTTCTGGGCTCAAGCCATCCTGCTGCCTCAGCCTCCCGAGTAGCTGGGACTACAGGCATGTGCCACCATGCCCAGCTAATTTTTTCTACATATTTTTATTTGTCCAGCTAATTTTTTTTCTATTTTTAGTAGAGATGGGGGTCTTGCTCTTGCTCAGGCTGGTCTCGAACTTCTGACCTTGTGCGATCCTCCCGCCTTGGCCTCCCAGAGTGCTAGGATTACAGGCTTCAGCCACTGTGTCCGGCCCTGCATATTTACATTAAAAAAAAAAACAACTTCATATATGGGAAAATTTAGCAAGCTACCATGCATACCCAGGGAAAGACACAGTCTCAGAAAAGACTTGAGAAGACCTTAACCCTTCACTTCAGGTTGATCTCCAGCACAGAGACACCCTAAATAATCAAAAAATCGAATTCTGGGTGAAGCGGGGAAAATATGATTTCCATATTTATCACAATATAAAATTTGAATGTACAGTTTCTACCCAAAATCATAAGGCAAATGAAGAAACAGGAAAGTATGGCTGATTCAAAGGAACTAAATAAGTAAGAAAAAGTATATTTGAGAAAGCTCAAACACTGAACTTAACAGACAAAGACTTTAAAATAACTGTCTTAAAGATGCTTGGAGAGCTAAAGGAAGACATGGGAAAAGAGGAAAACAATGTATGAACAAAATAAGAGTATCAATAAAGAGAGAAATTATAAAAAGGAACCAAAAAGAAATTCTGGAGCTGAAAAGCACAATAACTAAAGGGAAAAATACACTAGAAGGGGTTAAAAATAGATCAGGGGGAGCAGAAAAACGAATCTGCGAACTTAAAGATAGGACAATTGAAATTATTACGTGGAATGAACAGAAAGAAAAAAGAATGAAGAAAAGTGAACAGAGTCTAAGGGACCTGTGGAATACCATCAAACAGACCAACTTTTGCATAATGTGAATCCCAGAAGGAAAGAGAGAAAGGGACAGAAAGACTAGTTCAAGAAATAATGTCTAAAAACGTCCTAAATTCAAGGAAAGGTATGGATGTACAAATTCAAGATGCTTAACAAACTGCAAGTAAGATAAAGTCAAAGAGACCCAAGCTGAAACACATTATAATCAAGCTGTCAAAAGTCAAAGGCGAGGAGGGAAGCTTGAAAGCAGCAAGAGAGAAATGCCTTGTCACATGCAAGGGATCCTCAGTAAGATTATCAACTGATTTCTCCAGAAACCTTGGAGGCCAGAAGGCAGTGGCTTGATATATACAACGTGCTGAGAGGAAGGAAAGAACAAAACCCCAAACCTGTCAATTGAGAATTATGTATCTGGCAAAACTGTCCTTCAAAAATAAGGGAGACATTAAGACATTCCTATTGGGATGAAAACTGAGAGAGTTTGTTACCACTATACCTGATACTATGGTTGAATGTGTCCCTAAATGTGTTGGGAACTTAATCTTCAATGCAACAGTGTTGAGAAGTGAGACCTTTTAGAAGTGATTAATGGATTAATGTTATCACAGGAGTGGGTTTGTTGTTGCAACAGTAGGTTTGTTATAAAAGTGAGTTCACAGTGGGCATGATGGCTCATACCTGGAATCCCAGCACTTTGGGAGGCCAAGATGAGAGGAGTGCTTGAGTTTAGGAGTTTGAGACCAACCTGAACACCCAGGTTAAGTGAGACCCCCATCTCTAAAAAAAAAAAAAAATAGCTTGGTGTGGTGGTGCACACCTATAGTCCCAGCTTCTTCAGAGGCTGAGGCAGGAGGATTACTTGAACCCAGGAGTTTGAGGTTACAGTGAGCTATGATCATGCCACTGCACTCCAGCCTCAGTGACAGAGGGAGACCCTGTCTCTTAAAAAAAAAGTGAGTTCAGGCCTTTCTTGCTCTCTCTTGCCATGCACTGCCTTCTACTGTGTTGAGATGTAGCAAGAAGGCCCTCACAAGATGCATCCCCTCAACCCTATACTTCTCATTCTCCAGAACCACTAGCCAAATAAATTTCTGTTTACTTTAATATACCTAGTCTGTGATGTTCTGTTACAACAGCACTAAATGGACTAAGACACTTGCTATACAAGAAATGCTAAAGACAGTCCTTCAGACTAAAACAAGGAAACTAGGTAGTAACTCAAAGCTGTATGAAGAAATAAAGACCACTGAGAAAGGTAAGTACAAAGGCAATAATAAAAGCAGGTATTATAATTTTTATTTGTATCCATTTTTAATTTTCTGTATGACTTAAAAGATAAATACATATCTCTTTACACCCATTAAGAGGGTTATTTTAAAAAAAAAAGTGATGGTGAAGATGCGAAGAAGTTGGAACCTTTGTGTATTGCTGGTGGCGAAGAAAAATACAGCCTCTGTGGAAAACAATATGGTGATTCCTCAAAAAATTAAAGATAGCATTACCACAGGATCTTCCTCTGGGTATATGCCCAAAAGAAGTGATGTTAGAGATATCTGGTCCCTGTTCATAGCAGCATTATTCACAATAGCCAAAAGGCAGAAACAACCCAAATGGCCATTGACAGATGAGTGGATAAAATGTGGTATATACATACAGTGGAATATTAGTTGGCTTTAAAAATAAGGGAAATTTTGACACTTGCTACAACATGGGTGAAGCTTAAAGATATGCTACACGAAACAAGCCACTCGCAAACGACAAGTATTGTATGATTCTTCCCATGAATTTCCTAGAGTAATCAAATTCATAGTGACAGAGGCAGAATGGCAGTTGCCAGAAGCCAGGGGTTGGGGGAAATGGAGAGTAAGTGTTTAATAAGTACAGTTTCAATTTACAAGGAACAGGTTACAAGAGACAAAGGACATTATGTATTAATAAAATGTTCAATACAGCAGGAAGGTCAAACAATTATAAACATTACACACCTAATTATAGACCCTGAAAATGTATAAAGCAAAATTGACAGAATTGAAAGAGAGAAATACAATTTTACAGTAATAGAAACTTCCTAACCCCATTTTTAATAATGGATAGATCAATCAGAGGATAAGTAAGAAAAGCGAGAACTTGAAGAACATGTTAAACCAACTAGACTTAACAGATATATCATAGAACACTTCACCCAACAACAGCAGAATACACATTCTTCTCAAAAGCATACAGGACACTCTCCCAGAGAGACCAAACATTAGGCTACAAAGCAAGTCAACAGATATAAAGAGATGGACGTTATGCATTTCTTTTCCGATCACAACAGGATGAAGCTAGAAACCAACAACAGAAGGAAAATAAATAAAGGCTCCAAATTAGAAAGGAAGAGGTAAAACTATTAAATATTATCATGTAACATGATCCTATATACAGAAAATCTCAAAGAATCCAAAAGAGAACTACTAGAGCTAGTAAACTAATTCATCAAAGTCACAGCATACAAGATTAAAAGTAAGGAAACCAGTTTGTTTCTATATATCAACAATGAACAATCCAAAAAGGAAATTAAGAGAGCAATTTCATTTGCAATAGCACCTAAAGGAATTTAATACTTATGAATAAATCTAACCAATTTGGTGAAAGACTTGTATGCTGAAACTATAAAATATTGCTGAAAGAAATTAAAGAAGACTTAAATAAATGGAAAAACACCCTGTGTTCATGAATACGGAGACTTAACATTGTTAAGAGGTCAATACTATCCAAAGTGATTTAAGATGTCAATACTATCCAAAATGATTTACAGATTCAATGCAATCCCTGTCAAAGTTCCAATAGCTTTTTTCACAGACATGAAAAGTTGGTTTTCAAATTCATATTGAATTGCAAGGGTCCTCTTTGTCTTTTTTTCCTGCTGCTATGACAAAGTATTGTAGACTGGGTAATTCATAAACAATAAAAATTTATTGCTTATAGTTCTGGAGACTTGAGAATACAAGATCAAGGCACAAGCAGATTCAATGTCTTTTGGGGGCCTGTTCTTCATACATGGTGCCTTGGTGCTGCATCCTCACATGGTAGAAGGGGCTGGAGTATTCCCTTCAACCTTTTTTAAAAGGGCACTAATCTCATTCATGAGAGAAGATCCCTCATTACTTAATCACTTGCAGAAAGGTCCCATATCTTAAGAGCATCATAATGATGGTTAAGCTTCAATATGAATTTTGGAGGGATCCATTCAGACCATAGCACTCTGCCCCTGGCTGTTCATGTCCATTTCACATACAAAATACATGCATTGCATTCCAATAGCCCTATAAGTCTTAACATGTTCCAGTACCAACTCAAAAGTCTAAAGTCCAGAGTCTTATCTAAATCAGATATAAGTGAGACTCGAAGGTGAGATTCATCCTGAGGCAAATTCCCTTCCCACTCTAAGTCAGTGAAATCAAATGAGTTATGTGTTTCTAAAGTACAATGGTGAGACAAGCATAGGATAAATGCTTCCATTCCACAAGGGAAAAATAGGAAAGAAGAAATGGATAACAGGTGTTAGATAAGTCCAAAACCCAACAGGAAAAACAACATTAAATCTTAAGGCTAGAGAATAATCTTCTTTGACTCCATGTTCTCGCTTCTAGACACACTGGGGTTGGATCCCCAAAGCTCCAGTCAGCCTCACCCCAACAGCTTTGCTGGTTGCAGCCCATGAGGCAGCTCTCGTGGCTCGGAGTCTCATGCCTGTGGCTCTCCCAGCTGGAGCTGCATGCTGATCTGGGATCTTCTCTGCCGGGGGCCCTGAGCTTCCCTGGGGAATCCTTTGAAATCTTAGTTGAGGAAGCCTTGCCCGCACAACTCTTGCACTCTGTGCATTTGCAGAGTTAGCACCGCGACGCTGCCATAGTTTTCCTATGCCTTCTGCAGGGGCAGTCCAAGCAGCATTTGGGCCTACCTGTGCCACAGCTGGGGAAGCCAAGAACCCTAAGTTGGAATGCAGGAGCAGAGCCTTGACATTGTTGTGCTTCCCTGGCTCTGGCATTCTGGGCTTGTGATGGGAGGACAGCCAGGAAGATCTCAGAAATGCCTTTGGGATCACTCTTCCTCTGTTTTGATGAATAGCATCTGGCTTCTCTCTATCCCTCCTTATCAGAGGCCACACTTTTGGTGTTCTCTCCAGAACATGCTTTTTCATTTTTTGCAACCTAGCCACACTGAGACATTTTCAAATCTCTAAGTTCTGCTTCTCTTTTAAGGATAAACTCCATCTTTAATTTGTTTCTTTCATTTTGCATTTTAGATAAGCAGTCAAAAGAAGCCATGCCACAACCCTCGATATTTTGCTTAGAGATTTCTTCTGCCAAGTATCCTATTTCATTGATCATGAGTTCCTCCTTCCACAAAATACTGGGACATGAACACAATTCAGTCAACTTCCTTGCCACTTTATAGCAAGATGGCTTTTCCTCTAGTTTGTCACTAACACGTCTTTCATTTCTGTCTGAAACCTCATCAGAATGGCTTTTACTGCCCACCGTTGTCTGATTGGGTGTGTTTAGGGAATCTAAACATGTAACATTGGCCATCTAAGAGTCCCGGAAAGGTTGGGGACTAGACATTAGGCGCATTTAGAGCCACAGAGATGATTATGTCAAGGATGTAATTTGCTCCCTGGGAATGTAGAAACCAGTAAAGGGAGGCAGAGACATGGACAGGTGCAGTTAAGTGAAGTATGTGCTACCTGTAGCAGCATCCATACATACTAGGGTGCAGCGAGGTGGACTGATTTCCAAGAAGGGGTGGTCTGATTTCCAAACCCTCCTCCGTAGCCTCCTGCTTTCCTGATCGCGATAGCGGAGCCGGGGAGCAGTCAGTGTCTTGGGGACAACCAGACCTCTCTCAGCTCCCTCCTAGGGCGAGAAAGGAGGACCACAGAGACGCGGCGCCCTCCACCGTCCTAGAGCAGCCGCAGAGGCACGAGCATGGCCGCCCCCGCCGCCGGGGTGCGGAGGTCTGGCCTGCGCACAGCGCGGGGAGCCGGTCGAGGCGCTGGCGGGGCTGGCGGGGCGTGAGCCTAGGTCTTGCCCAGGCGAGGGCGTAGTCGGGCCCGCGCCGGTCTAGAGCGCCCCTCCTCCGGGCGGGCTGCCCGGGCCATGGCGGCCGCGGCCCTGGAGAGGGGTGCGCGCCTGCGCTCCGCCCTCCCGCTGCCGCCGGGACTGCCCGCGCCAGCCCGGGCTCGCCCGGTGAGTGCGCGGCCGGCGCCTAGGAGCGGGCTCGGCCCTGTCCTGGGCACCAGGCCCAGCTGAAGGGCAGGGAGGGGGTTGGTGCGGCTGCCGGGAAGTGGGGGAAAACCCGGAGCGGAGGCCCTCCAGGGCCAGGCCCGGGGCAGAGTGGATTCGACAGCCCCGGACGTCATTCGCCCGGGAAAGGAAGGCGGACGTGCACGGGCAAAGTGGTCCCGCAGCGCTGTGGGTAGCAGCGAATGGCCAGGATTTCGAAGAGGCTGGTTTTACAGAGCTGGCTATGTGTGAGTTGGTTATGTTAGGACGAACAGGAGTTTGCAGGCACAGGAGGGAAGAACTGGACATTCAGGCAAAGGAGTCTTCAGGTGCAAGGGCACAGATCTGAGGGAGGGAAGAGTTTAAGAGCTACGCCATTTGGTTTCCCAACTGAATGGTGAGAGCATAGTGGATGAGGAAGCTGATGGTCCTGGACAGGTAAGCGAGTCTCTGAACAGTGAGTGGAATTGTGTGTAGTGCAGAGGAACTTGAACTTTATTAGGTAGACAAAGGTGAGCCAGTCAAAGCCTTTGAGCCCAGGAATGGTGGAGAAATCCTGGGGGTGGGAGGGCTTTGTAGGGCAAGAACTAATGTGAAATGACCCAGAATCGGCTCCTCCATACTGTGGAGACTGAGATCCCGAATGAGACGACGTCTGGGAATTATAGGAAGTCTTGATGGCGGTAGGTTAGCATTATTTGTTAAGGAAGAGGGCGCGTGAAAAAGGAAAGAACACTCAGGAGCCGAGACTCCTAGAAATATAGAAAACGGGGACATTGAAGTTGGGATGTGGAGAAGAAAGTGGTATGGGATGTTTTAGAGAGTGCTGAGGGTGGAGGAGTGTAGGGGGGAGAGTCACAGTTAGGATCCGCCCTGTCGAGGAGCCTCAGTGGTCACTGTGAATGTTCTGAGGAGCTTTGGCTGGTGGCAGCGACAGGGAGGGAGAGAAGAGGAAGAGTCGGTGTGGGATGATAGGCAGAGCCAGAGACTTAAGCAGGCCTGGGTTCTGTTTCAACTCTGAAACTTTGGGGGAAGTTAATCTCTCTGAGCCTTGGCTTCCTCTTCTATAAAATGGATCTAACACCCTTTTTGTAGGCTGTGGGACATAAAGTAATATATATGTATATATAAAGTGCTTGGCACAGGCTCAAAAAATGATAGTTGTTATCAAGTGTGATAGACCTCTGAAGAAGAACACATTGTAGAGAAAGGTTGGGACCTAGGGCACACATGGTGGTTTGGGGTATAGGGATGAACAGCAAAAACTTTTGCAGAGACTCATGAAAAAGATGAGAGGATGTTTGCTGAAATAAAGATGAAGAGACATAAGAAAATTGATGGCTGATCCCTTATATGTTTGTAAGTAGGGGGCAAAAATCTGCTGAGAGAGTTCCCTTAGACATTCAGAATCCAGTACCGGCATCCCGCCAGTACTTCTTGGTGCCCTGTCTGCCACTTACCCCAGGCCTGGGTCCTGGGATTGTCCTAGGGCATATAAACACGTGTTGTTTCAGGAGTCAGTGACCTTCGAGGATGTGGCTGTCTACTTCTCTGAGAACGAATGGACCGGCCTGGGCCCTGCTCAGAGGGCCCTGTACAGAGACGTGATGCTGGAGAATTATGGGGCTGTGGCTTCCCTGGGTAAGGGTGTCTCTCTTTGGGCTCTGGCTCTGCCCTTCAGAGTTTCCTGGCTCCTCCTTTCTCAAAGGCTCAGGAGTCTTTGATAGTCCTCAGCTCAGTGGCAGCTACAGGCTCGTGAATTGTTAATGACCCAACCTGAGCAGTTGCTGGAAGTGGGAAGTCTTCATATCAGTTTGAGCCTCGCCCCAGGGTGAGAGCTGCCCAAACTCTCACCCCTGTGCTGTGGGTATAGGGGGAAAGAGCAGATCCGTGGTGCCCCACTGAGCCTTCACTTCCCCACCCCCCTCAGTTTGGGAGATCCAGCCTAATACCAAGCATCCACAGGCAGATGTCTGAACTTGAGGGCTGTAAGAAGGAGAGGACAAGAAAGCATTGAGGCCCCAATTCCTCAATGAATGAAATCATCTGTTTGCTGACTCAAAGTGCTATTGAGTAACTCTGTCAACTTCCTGACCTTTGTAAGTCTCCTAGCCCCTCTCCCCCAGGTCACCTTCCTTCTCCCTGGACTTCCTTTTCTCCTTCTCACTAGTGATTCTCTATTTCCCCTCCTGCCCTTGAAGACACAGGCCTGGGAGGAGCCCTTGGGATTGCCCTGTGTCACTCCAGTCACCTGCCTGTCCCATTTCCTTCTCCTCAAGCAGCATTTCCATTTCCCAAACCGGCCCTGATTTCCCAGTTGGAGCGAGGGGAAGCACCCTGGTGCTCAGCTCCTCGGCGCGCTGTGGATGGAGTGGGCCCGAGGAGCATCTCAGGTGAGTGAGGACACCTGTGCCAGTCATCTGGCCAGTTCCTTTGTCTTGATCTTTAGAATGTCATAGATATGTGTTCTCTTCACCTCGTACTGTGGACACTGGTGGTGTTCCCATGTTTCTCTGTGTTCTCATAGTTTTCCATCCTCTTGAGTCCTTATTCTGTTTACCTTGGCTCCTCTGTGTGCCATCTTCTTTCACCTGTTTTGCCTCTTCCCTATCTGCTGCTCTTATCATGGCCACTGTTTATCTTTGCTCCCTGATTTTCCTCTTTACCCTCAGAGATGAGGTGCCCTTTCTACTTTCCCGGCCTGCTCATAGTCTTCCAGCTTGGGATTTCATGGCCATATCTGTCATTAGAAATGAAGCAATCTCAATAACCCTCAGCCAAATATTCCCTAGTACTCAGGAATCGCTGCTGGTGAAAGCCCACGGTTTACTTTAGGGCCGACTGAGGGCTTTCTTCCTCTTAGTTTCCTAGTGAGAACTGTGTCTCTCTGTTGCCTCTCTGGCCCCATTCCACCTTCTTTGCACAGTCTCCTGTGAACACCCTCCATCTCCCCATTCTCACAGTTCCTTGGTATGTCTGGCAGTCTTTTTATATTAGGATATTCTTAATTGCAAGTATTAAAACCCAGTTCAAACTGGCTTAAACAATAAAGAGGAATTTATTCTTTCATGTAACTGGGTAGTCTGTAAGTAGAGTGGGCTGCAGGCATAGTTTGATCAGAATTTCAGTTTCCGCTCTGTCTTCCTGTATGTTGGCTTTGTCCACAGTCTGGCTTCTCTTGTGGTTATAAGGTGATTTGTATTATTAGCTGTAACCAGGACGGTGCTTCTTCCTACCTAGTAAGGAACAGGGCAGGTCTTCCTTAGGCTTTAACCATTATGAATCACGTCCCAAGTATTGCTCTATTGGACCACCTTAAGTCATACGCCAGCTTTAAATCAGTCACTGTGGCCACGGAAATACTGTGCACTGATTGACTTGAGCTGAATTGCTGATCCCTGGATCAATTTCCTGTGTAGACAGTGGACTGGGATTAACCTGGTTCGCCTAGACTTGCCAGCACCTATCCTACGGAATTGGAATTGGGATAAGCCCACCTTCACCCTCCACACAGTTCCCACAGTGGGGCGGGGTAGAATGGATGCAGGAGACAACCACAATGTCCTCCATATTCTCTCAGGATCTCAGTATTTCCTCTCCTCACGACCCAAGGGAATTTCCCATCTTTGCTTCGCTTCTGGCAAAAACCCAACAACTAAGTTATTCCTTGAACAAAATTCCAACTCCCTGATCAGCAACAGATTTCCCTGGTGCAGTCCTGTCCCTACTGAAAGTCCCCTTTTGTCTTAGAGATGATAATACACAGGAGACACACAGTCCCTGGCTTCAGCGACATAAAAGGTTGTTATTTGAAGGTGTAGAATTGATCTGTTTCTTAGGATTTTTTTTTTTTTTCTTATGAAGTTACCAAAGATGAATCTTAGGATATTTTGGATTGGAGTTATAAAGAGACAGATCTTAGTTACGCCTGAAGTAAAGTTTATTAGCGTGGGTGTTTGTGGATGGAGGTATCTATTATAGGGTAAAAAGAAATTTCTGGAAATGGCTGAGTGAGGCTGTGAGGCCATTTCTATGGATGCCGTAGAGAGACCTATCACTGATTCTTTGTGGAATGACAGGCAATAAATAGAGGGATAGAAAGGAGGATACCTAAGAGGTTATGGTTTCCCAGACTAGACCGCCTAGACAAGAAGTCCTCAGGAATAGCTCTTTGCAATTCCAGCCTATCCTGATTCTTTTCTATGTGAATTTGCTTTCACCCTCTATTATAGTTATAGGTACAGAAGAAGCATTAGTCTTTCCTATTCTTCTTGACATTTTAAAATGAATGGGCCTGGGCGCGGTGGTTCACGCCTGTAATCCTAGCACTCTGGGAGGCCGAGGCGGATGGATAGCTTGAGGTCAGGAGTTCGAAACCAGCCTCAGCAAGAGCGAGACCCCGTCTCTACTATAAATAGAAAGAAATTAATTGGCCAACTAATATATATAGAAAAAATTAGCCGGGCATGGTGGCACATGCCTGTAGTCCCAGCTATTCAGGAGGCTGAGGCAGTAGGATCGCTTGAGCCCAGAGGTTTGAGGTTGCTGTGAGCTAGGTTGACGGCACAGCACTCACTCTAGCCTGGGCAACAAAGCGAGACTCTGTCTCAAATAAATAAATAAATAAAATGAATGATATGTTTTTGTATCTTTGGGAACTGAGGGAATCACAACTTCCCTGTACCAGTATTTTCTATCCTTCATGTTCTTATCCCTCAAATTCTGGTTATCTTTGTTGCCAATCTTTTCATCTACCTTCATTCTCCCCCTACCACTTCCACCTCTGCTCTTTTCCTAATGGGCCTCACCCCCCCAACTGAGTCAGGCTTCTTTGTACCTTGAACCCAGCAGGGTTTCCATTTCTAACGCCTGCTGGGGTCTTCCATCTGGAGCGGGCAGAAGAGCCGTTGAACCTGAAACTGCAAGGAGAGCGTCCAAGCCTAATTTGTACAGGTAAGTGAGAGGGAACTGAGCATTTTCTTCCCAGTACACATTTTCCTATCTTAAAGTCCTTTATAAAATGTTAAAAACCATGTTACCATTCATGTTCTAAATAAATGACCCTCCCAAATCCCCAGATCAACTAGTTAATCAAGAGAAAACTTAAACTCTTAAACTTTCAGCTTCATTAGGACAAGCTCAATTAATTAAATTAGGTTGGGTCATGGGTCTTAGGCTTAAGCTGAACAAATGGCCTACCCGTATGGCTACTATGGTTAACCAATATTTTTAAGGCTATATTTTACTTATTGTGTTAGTTGCTAGGGATCAGAAATCAAGTAATTTATGGTCCCTATCCTGGAAAGGCTCACAGTCTAACGGGACATTATACATATATGTATAATTACAGAAAAATGATGATGCTGTAACACAAGTGTGAATAAGACACTATAGGAACAAAAAGAGGGGAGTCCTTTGCCCAACTTTGCCTGAATTACTTTGGAGAAGCACTTTTTATGGTAAACCTGGTGGTTAGATTGAATGAGAATATTACACTTCCTTTTAGTGTTGAAAAATATGAAGAAGGTCCTTGCCGCTGTCCCCAATGTGTGACAAGCTCAGTTTCCCCAGGCATACCACAAATGATTCATTATTTCTAAACAGGTCCTCTTCCCCGACTCCTGGCCTGTTCTTTTCATGTTATAAACTGGAATCAGCCACCTAAAAGGAATTCTGACTTCTCTGCCTTAGCTCAACTTTTTTCTGAGAGCCTGCCCTCTGTTTGGTCTGGTGCTGGGAATCACAGCCCTCAGGAATTCTGTCTAGTTTCTTCTTTTTGCTTGTGGTTTCTTTTTGTGTGTTAGCCCTGTTTTTGCCATTTTCAGCGAGGACAGGGCCACTGAGACACAGGGGTGGTACGTGGAGAGAAATGGATGCACTAATACTCCAGTTACTCTGGCATGAATAATGATGACATTTGAAGCTTTGATTTCTTCTTTCAGAGGGTGTGTTGAAGAGTGAGAAAGAAGATTATTTTCTGAAGGAGGAAATTTGTGAGGAAGCACAGAGCCTCATGGTGCTATCAAGTGGACCCCAGTGGTATGGCTCCCAAGGATTCTGGCTTAGGAAAACCTGTGAAGAGGAGAAAAGTAGTGTAAGAAGATGGCCTGGCTACCCCAATGGGGGAAATATGGAGAATACTACAAAAGATATTATAGAAGTGATCGTCAAGGATGAGATGATCTCAGTAGAGGAGAGTTCAGAAAATACTGGTATCAAGAATCACGTTGGTATACATCAGAAAATTCTAAGTGAGCAGGTATTCTATATATGTGAAGAATGCGGCAAGTGTTTTGATCAAAACGATGACTTTGATCAACACCAGAAAACTCATGGTGGAGAGAAGGTCTATGGATGTAAGGAATGTGGGAAGGCTTTTAGTTTTAGATCACATTGCATTGCACATCAGAGAATCCACAGTGGGGTGAAACCCTATGCATGTCAAGAGTGTGCCAAAACCTTCGTTTGGAAGTCAAACCTGATTCGTCACCAGCGAGTACATACTGGAGAGAAACCCTTTGAATGTAAGGAATGTGGGAAGGGCTTTAGTCAGAACACAAGCCTTACACAACATCAGCGAATCCACACTGGGGAGAAACCATACACATGCAAGGAATGTGGGAAAAGCTTTACTCGAAACCCAGCCCTTCTTCGGCATCAGAGAATCCACACTGGGGAGAAGCCTTATGAATGTAAGGACTGTGGGAAAGGCTTCATGTGGAACTCTGATCTTGCTCAGCACCAGAGGGTCCACACTGGAGAGAAGCCTCATGAATGTTCTGACTGTGGGAAAAACTTCATTTGCAAGGCACACCTTGTTCGACATCAAAGAATCCATACTGGGGAAAGACCCTATAAATGTAATGAATGTGGGAAGGCCTTCAGTCAGAATTCTGTCTTGATTAAGCACCAAAGGCGCCATGCCAGAGAGAAACCCTATGACTGCCAGACCTCTCACCTTGAACATTAGAGAGTACATAATGGTGGTGACTGCTTATAATTCTTATGCTACTGGAACCCCACAGACAAAATGAGATGACCTTCCATAGTTTGCTATAACCCTACTAGCCAGTATTATCTTGCCCCTTCTGATCAGATACCATGTACTGTAGCAAGACTGGTTCCCCTGTCCCACCGTGTTTATACTAGGCACCATTTAGTTGAGCACCTACTGTATGTCAGGTACTGTGCTAACCACTTCACATACATTCTTTAATTTTCATAACAGTCCTATTAAAGCATATACTCTTCCCATTTTACAAATGAGAAATCAGGTTGACAGAGTATTCTAAAACCTATTCAATGTTGCTCAGCTAGTAAGTTATTGAGATTAGAGCTAGGTCTGACTGTAGAGTCTACAGTTCTTTATTTAATTGTACATATTTGTGCCTCTCCCCATTTTTATTTGCTTAAGTTTTCCTGGGCCTTTAGTTTCCCTTCATCATCTAAGACCCAGCTCCTTCAGCTAAGCAGACCTCTTTTCCTATTCTACTTATAGTCAGTCCATGCAAGTTAGTATTTAATTATACGCTGTCTTATATCTTTCTACTAGTCTTATGTCTCTTAGTCTTAATGCCAGCTAAGTGGCTCTTTGAGGACCAGCACTGCATTTCTTTTATGTTCTTCAAATTTTGAAACTTATTTATTTTTTGACTAGATACAATGTGCTCATGGTAAAAAAAAAGTTGAAATAATTCAAAACGGTATTTATTCAGTGTAAAGTAAATTTCCTTGTCATTCTTGACTCGCAAGTCTCCCAGTTTTCTCCCCAGGCAACCACTCTTACTGGTTATGTATTTTTCTAGAGGTATTCTCTATATACAAATATTTATTGTTACTGCTTTATATAAATCTACCTCACTGAAAACCTTATTTGATCTAGATCACATTGCAGTTACATTGCCAACTCTAGGACCCTCCCTTCCTTAGAAGTTGTGGGCTTCCTGGAGGTGCAAAGGGAACTTAGGGAAAGCTGCAGAGGGTAGTCCATGTTGTGTGATCTTGGGAGACCCAGTTGCTCTTGTGTCATGAGACAGCACTCTGGGATTGGGAAAATATTTGCCTAGTTAGAGATTTTTTTTTTTTTAATAAAAATTTGTACAACTACAACCCCTCATTGTAGTACCTAAAGCTTCTCTGAGTCTGCCCCAATTCACCATCTTCATAGCCTATATCCCAAATTAAGCTGTGAAGCCATCACTAACGGAGGGAGAACAGGTCACTTTCTGGTTATCGTTAATGCTCTGGTGAGTAATAGCCACATCCAGTCAGTAGTTGAAAAGTTCCCACATAATCCACTATCATGGCATCAGAGTCACATATGCCTTGGTCCAGCATCAAATATAAATGCTAGGAACATGTAGCTCTTACATAGGAAAGTAAGGAATTCCAAAATTAGCTAACTCTACATGAATCAGGAGTCTGTAAGACAATATTTTTAAAAGAGGATGCAAGCTGTTAATACTATTATAATTATGAAGACAGGATATTAGAGAGTGGTAATAACCATCTTAAAAGTTTAGAGGACCAGAGGCTCTATTCAGGGGAGAAGAATGCTGACCAAAACAGATCTGAAACATCCATTCCAGACACTTCACCTTTAGAACTATCTTTTTCAGATAGTGCAGTTCACTTTACTGCTGTTTATATCCCACTTTAAAGTTTCCAACCACTTGGGGTAACATCTAATAAGCAGTAAAAATTTTGTTGTGTACCACATGGAACCAGGAAATAGAAATGACTTACGTGAACTGGTGTTGGGAAAGTTGTTTATTAAGCAAATATTAGTGAGCAACGGCTTACAGGCAAAGCACTGTGCCACATGCTGGGCAAACAATAAGCTAGAACTGGTCCTGGTCTTCCTGGGACATTTTAGCCTAATGAGAGAGACTGACCAAAAAAATTAAGCAAACAAAAATTTAAAAAATTGCTATGAGGGGAATGAACAAGGTACCGAGAAAAAGAATGATGGGGAAGGGGCCCACTTTATATAGATAGCCTATTCTAAGAGGAAACCTTAAAGCTAAGACTCAAAGGATGAGAAAAAGCCATTTGTATCAGGAATGGGAAGAGGAGCAGGCAGAGGGACATAGCTGTGCAGGCACTCTGATGTTTGAAGGCCTGATCAAGAAGCCAAAAGGGTTTGGCTGCAGTATGATGATCCAGGGTGGTATGTGCAGCACAAGTTGGGTTTGAAGAGATAGGTGGGCCAGATCATTGATTCCCTAATAAGTGAAAAGAAGGCATGGAAAGGTATCCAAAGGACAAGTCACATGTTGGAGTCACACTTTAGGATGGTCACTCTGACTGCTAGGTAGAAAATGGTTTATAAAGGGACATGTATGAAAGGAGAGATCATGTTAGAGACTGTGATAGCAGTCCAGGTTAGAGACGATGGAGGCCTGGAGAGGCTGGTGGAAATGGAGACGGAGAGAAGTAGATGATATTAAGATATGTTATGGAAATAAAATCTGTGACCTGCTAATGAATCAATACAAGGAATAACTGACAGGGAGGAATCAGGGATGGCTTTCTGATTTCTGGCTTGAGCAGCTGAGTGAACAGTGGTGCCAATGACTGGAATAGATAAGACTGGAAGGGGAATGGGCTTGGGAGGGGAGAAATCTAGAACTCTTATTTGGCTTTCATTTCAGATATGTGTGAGGTGTGCAAGTGGGAATTTCAAGTTGGCAGTTGTATATTATGGGCTGGAGCTCTGGTTATCTGTGACCGCAGCTGTGCATTTGGAGTTAGTAAGTGAGAAGAATAGATATAAAGCCATGTAAAGAAATAAATGAAATCCTCTAGTGAGTGGGAATGAAGAAAGCCTCTGCAACTGCACTGTCCAACATAGTAGCCACTAGCCACATGTGGCTATTTAAATTAAATGAAGAATTTAGTTTCTTAGTCACACTGGCTGCATTTCAAGTACACAGTACCCATATGGGGTGCTCAGCCACCCTCCACCAGCTTCTCTGACATCACCCTGGGACCTGCCTTTCAACATACTCCTAAAATTATTCTGCCCACACACTGTGTCTTCATCCTTAGCCCCACTTAAAATGCACTTATTTATTTCCCAGAATCATTTTCCTTTTATTTTTGGGGAAGCAAAGCTCATCCCCTTCTTTTTTACACTTCTTTCTTTATGTGTCCCACTATTCATTAGAATTCTAGTTTTTCCTAAACTCAAATATAAAATATTGCTGCTAGATTAACATTCCGAAAGCTTTCACTCCCTTGCTCAAATATTTTCAGTAGGTCCCCATTGCCTGCCAAATGATATCTGTTCCTCAGGTGAAGTTAAGACACCCCAGAATCATCACCAAGCCATTTTTCCAGCTGTTTTGCCAGATCCGACTGCACAGCAGTCACATGGATGATAGCTATGGACAGGAAAGTGACATTAAACACAGGCAAAGGAAAGAAATCCAATCTCTGTATGGACAGGCAAACTTCTCTGGCCTTCAAATTCCCCATGAAGTTGTCTTACTACTGAGGATACTGCCAGATTGCAGTGGAAGTCCAACCAAATGTTTCACAACATTCTCCTTGTCTTTGGCTGGGGGTGGGATTCACACTCTCCTGGAATTCCAAGCTGCTCTAGACACCATAGCAGTAAGGCCACCTCCTATACAGTTGTAAATATAGTATAGTCCCCTCTTATCTGTGGTTTTGCTTTCCATGGTTTCAATTACCCATAGTCAACTGTAGTTCACCCCCATAATGCCTAAAATATCAAATGGAAAATGCCAGAAATAAACAATTCATAAGTTTTAAATGGCACAGCATTCTGAATAGTGTTGTGAAATCTCACACTGCCCTGCTCCATCCCACCCGGGACATGAGTCATCCCTGTGTATAGCTACATCTACACTGTCTCTGCTACCTGCCTATGGTCACCTAGCAGCCATCTCACTTATCACATTGCCAGATCACAAGAAGGGCAAGTACAGCACAGTACTTTGAGAGAGAAACCACAGCACACTCACATAACTTATATTACAGTATATTTTTATATTGTTGTTAACCTCTTACTATGCCTAATTCACAAATTAAACTTAATCGCAAGTATGTGTGTATAGGAAAACATGCAGTATATATAGAGTTTCATACAACCCTTTGTTCAGGCATCCACTGGGGTCTTGGGATGTAGCCCCTGCAGGGGGACTACTGTGACTGCTAAGAACTCCCTGTTTTCTTGAGGGCTGATAAAAGAGTGAATTGAAGGTCAGTTTTCCAGATAGCATGTCCGCTGGGGCCCTAAGTTTCAGGCCTGTTTGAGTTGTTCCCGTACTCAGACACCAGGTGAGCTGGGCTCTTTTCTTCAAGCAGCTCTTTAGATGCCTTTCTCATATTGTTCCATTGCCTGCAATACCTTACCTTTCCACTTACAGCTAATCTTGTATATCTTTACAAGCCCAACTGAAATGCTTCCTTTTTCACAAATTCCCTTCTGTCCGTGGTTCCCTTTGCCCCCAAAAGATATGACACTACTTTGAGATTCCACTGGTATTTGTCTTGTATTGCTTTTGCTAATGTGCCTTTGCAAATGAGTGCTTATCTCATTTTGTCAATAGAGTATGAGCTCCATGAAGGATGATATTTAAACCTCTCTTTGTCTCCCCTATCGTGTCTAAGATGGTGCTTTCTACATGCTAAGCCTGCAATAAATGATTTATCGATATGGACTATGGGACCCTACCTGACAACCTGATTCCCTGGCCCCAATTTCTCCCATTTTATGCTTCCCTAACTACTTAGGAGTGAATCTTGCACCAACTGGCTGTGCTCAATGTTTTGCTCTTCCACTTAATCGATGTGTGCCCGAGAGTTTCTCTCATCTTTGGGCCTCAATGTTTTCATCTGTAATATAAGACTGAATGCTTTCAACAGTAGAGAATTATTCCTCCACTCAACAAATATTTACAGAGCACTTATTAAGTGCCAGATCTTGAGGACACAGCAGTGAAGGAGATGTAGTCCTGGTTTTTAAAGCTGATTATGCACATCTCTCCCCAACCCCTCCTTCAGTGACCTTATGTTGGTTCTTGAAATTGGCCAGGGGATAATTTATTTCAATATGGAAACTGGCAAACCCTCCAAATCCATTTTTTTTCTCAGAGTGCCAATTTACACATCACTAAAGGAGATGGACTTCATACAGAATAAACAAAGATAAGAGATCATTTCACATAAAGATAAATTTTTTGAAAAAAGTAAAATCAGGTAATGCTACAAAGTAACTTAAGAGAGAGGCTACTTTACACAGAGTAGTCAGGGAGGGTTTTTCTGATAAGTAGAAATTTGAGCTGAGGCTTGAATAATTAAAAGAAACCAAGAAAGGCATGCTGTATGCATGCCTATGGTACCAGCTCCTTGGAGGCTGAGGCAGGAGAGTCCACTTGAGGCGAGGAGTTTGGGCTAGCCTGGGCAACATAGTGAGACACTGTCTCAAAAACAAAAAAAACCTAAAAAATGAAAGAAACCAGTCATGCGAAGAGATAGGGAAAGTACATTTTAGGCAAAAAGAACAAGTGCAAAGGATTCGAGGGCCCTGGGACAGGCATTATGACACAATGGATGGATAAGATCTCTAGTTCCTTAATAAACAGACTGATTAGACTCTTGGCTGTGCCACTTGCCAGTGGTCCAACTCTGGACAAGTTACTAATCTCTTAAACTTTGAATTTTATATTCTATAAAATGATATTACTGTTTCATAGAGTTGTGTGCATAAATCATTAACATAGGAGTCCTGAGACTTAAAAAGGCACACTTGCAAGATAGGCCCTTAGCTGGTGTCTGGGAACTTTGCTTTCAGTGTATCTAGTCAACACTTAACCAACAGGAGTAGTTCATTACGCCTAGACTATTTGTACAAATTATATGATTTACGCTGAAAATCTGCTTTCCTCCTTAACGTCTGGAATTTTTGTATGTGCGAAATCACCTATATTAAAACAATGAAAAGCTATAAGGTAAAAACGGTAATAAAAGTCTGATTCCTATAAAAGTATAGATATAGCCAGAAGTTAACCAGCCATTGTTCCCTGACTTTCTTACTGCTGCGACTACTTACTGCTTAACACCATGTATCCTCCCTAACA